GCTACTTCATTTTCCTGAGTATTTCTTTATTATATTTCAAATTCCCTAAATCAAAAAGACTTAATCAAATCTCAATTGTTCCTTAATTTATGTTGTGCTTAAGATCAAGCAAGAATACTAATCTAAGGACAAACAAATTTGGAGTTTAAATTAAATTTATCAGCAAAGGAAGACCTCATCAAACACAAGATCACTAATTTTTTTCATATCCTAGTCATATTTTCTTCAATAAAAACTCTTCCCTCCATACCATCTCCCCACGCTCTGCTTTGGTTCTACCTGCTTTGCATAGAACACTGGTCCCTGGACAGAATGGCCTGTTAGCCAGCATGTGGTCTCCAGACCTGTAGCTTCTTCAGCACCTGAGAATTCACCAGAAAGACACCAAAACCCTGAGCCACAGTCGGCCCCATAAAGCTGCTCAGCCCTGCTGCGTGTGTGTTCCAAGAAGAAGCAGAGCTGGTCTCTTTACTAGACTCCAGAAGGAAGCAAGCCAGGGCTCTCCTCTGAGAATCCCCACCATGGTCAGCACGCAGGGCCATTTCAGGGGCCACCTGCTGCTGTGTTGCATGTAAACACAGAATGAGAGCCACCAACTCCAGGCCACTCCAGCCACAAATGTACGAAGTAAGAATTTTCAGTATCTGAGCTCCAGTTTTTATTCATGGTACCTGGAAAGTACTGAAGAAGAGAGCGGACTGGCCTCGGTGCCCTTACAAGATTTCTGAGAGCTGGAGCAATGTGTGGCAGCAACCGCTGTCCCCAAGCCCTGCTGCAAGACTCACCTGCCTTGAAGGCCGCAAGCCCTGGCCCCATGCCCTGCCGCCTGCGCCAATGAGATTAGCAAGCGGGCTCCAGGCCGGGGGACACCTAACTGCACCTGCCCTCTGCTTACTTATTTCCTTTAAAGTTCTTTGTTTTCAGAACCTTTTAAAAAATCTAATTTCAGAAGAAAAAAATGTTCACTGATCTTAGTCACTTTAAAAAGAGAATTACACAGAGAATGCACAAGTGAATTCAAGAAGAAAATTAAATTTCTTAACTGTTTTACAGGGGTGAAATTATCTAATAATGTTTTGTTTTTTGAGGTTTTTTTGGTGGAACCGGGGATTGAACTCAGACACTTGCACTTGCCAGGGAAGCACTTATTCTACTGAGCCGTATCCCCGGCCCCTAATAGTGTTTCTTGATCTCTAAAGTCATGTAATAAAACTGTTAAGAAATTCTTGACAAAAATGATATGGAAAGGAATTGGGTAATATGTGGTTCATAAATTACTTTGCTATTTTCTATTTTACTTAGATGGAATATAACCATTTTCATCTTTCATTTATTTGTTTATTTGGTGTAGGGTCTTGCTACACAGGACCACCATGCCTGGTTTCAGTGGCCAGTACGGCATGCCTGGGGTTCCAGGGCCAGCACAGAGTGCAGTACCAGGTATCAAACCCAGGTCCTTGCACTTGCCAGGCAGGCGCTTACACTGCCAAGCTGTCTCCCAAGCCCATTATCACCATTTTCTGTTCAGAAAGTACCACTCCCTACAACAACCACTAACTGATCCGACTGAAAAAGCCATGCAACATCTCAAAGCCTATATCACAGTGATGTTCTAGAAAGTTAAGGAGATAATGTATGTGCCTGGTATGCAGAAAACGCTCCATAAAGTTAGCTGTTAACTTTGTTGTCTTAAACACATTTAAAAAAATACTTTGGCTGAATCCTTTAAAGGCAGTAAATGTCTAGCCCAGATATGTATATAATTGCTAGAGCACAGCCTATTGGATTTTACATTGTAAGTGGCTAGTCAATCCAAGTTAAGTTCAATTACATGGAACCCACTGTGCTGAATCTGCTTTAATGTACACATAGATGGAAATGACTTGTTACAGAAGGCCAGTGAATTCTCTCTGTGAAACACTATGATAGAAAACTGTACTCTCCTCCAAGCAGAAGCCACTCTAGACCGCATGGTGCAGCCTCCTCTGGGGCCTCTGCACACTGTCCTCATGGTTCTGAGACCCCTTCACCCACATGTTCCCTGAGGCTAGGTCTGGACAAGTATCAACACTCCACAAACGTCCCTGAAGCTTAGAGATGCTTTCCTGATGAACAGCTGGTTTTATTACTTGGGAAGTAGGCCAGGTGTGGTGGTGCACACCTGTAATCCCAGCACTGGGGAGTGTGGGAGGCACAATAACTCCGGGCCTCCAATACTGTTGCAAGTCTTTTCCTAACTCCTGTGAATCTGCCACATCATGACTTTGTACCACATATCCCTTAAAGGTCACCTGAGTGCCTCTGACCTATAAAATTCTCTTAGTGTATCACTTCCTCTTCCCCCGCCTTAAAGACTGTGTCACCTCCCTGTCATCACATGCTATGCCCTGGAGGTGGGACTTCCTGTCATAGCCTGGTTGCCTAGTTACTGGCGCCTTTTACCCGCCGACGTCATTTCCCTATGCCTCCACTATATATACCCAGAGTTTCCTTTAAATAAATGAGACTTGATCAGAATCCTGTCTTGTCTCCATTTCTCGCATCTCCTGTCCTTTGTCCCCTCCTCAATTCCCCGCTCCTCTCCCAGGTGACCTTCGTTGACTACCCGCTGGCTCAAGACAGGGGAGGCTGAGGCAGTAGGATCACCTTGACTTTGAAGCCAATATGGGTTACATTGTGAGTTCAAGGCCAGCCTGAACTATATAGTGAGAGCTTGTGTTTCACCCTTTGGTAACCAGAAACAGAAATAAAGATTGTTACTTGTCTGACAGCAAAATGTGCCTGCAAACAAGATCTTGAAAGCAGAGTCCGGAATCCTAAATCTTCTCTTCTCTCTCCACAAGGCTGCCCTGCTGGTGCCCACCATGAACAACTCAGAGCTGAAATAAGACATCAGCCTAGAAATGCAAAATACCCTTCAGAGGGGAGACAGCTCCCTGGCCATAGAAAACAGACAGTAAGCTGATTAAACATATTAACATATCTAAAGAAAACAATGTTTCAGTCTCCTGGAGCAGCTGGTCAGCTAAGGCCTAGGAAAAGGAGAATTTCAGAGGTAAATACAAAGGGTATCCAGCTAAGAGGTCTGGAGGACACCTTGGCACTTGTGGAGTGGAAAATAAAGGTTCATTTTTATCAGTACAATTTCAGGATAGCAGGGCTCGTGCAGATTTGCCTCACTTTCCAAATGGGCTGCACTATTGAATAAAATGACAGAGGTGTTCGTGGATGAAAAGCTGAGGCTATGAAACGCTGAAGCCCTCTCTCTAACCTGGCTGCTGGGAATCCACTGTCTCTGCAATACCTTGCCAGTAAAATCGAGCTTCCCATGTGCCAGCCTCCAAGGAGAGAAAGCCAGGCCAGAAGACAAAGGGCCAAGCACCACTCCAGGCTCTGCACAAACAATGGAATAGTAGCCAGCTTCTATACATAAGTTCTGCACTCAGGGTTATTACTAAACCATTCTGGGAGACAGAAGTCCTCTCTCGGGGTGTTGCCAGCATGCCTGTAAGGCTGACCCAGCGCACCCACAGGCAAAGAACCGGACAGCCAGCCCACCTCCCAGGCACAGCCTGTGCGTTATATGAGTACCCTTCAGCCTGGGCCACTGAGATCAGCTCGTAATTATTCTCTAAAACATTTCATTATAAACATGTAATTTTTCTGATTCAGCATCATTATTAATCAAAGGCATGCAAATTAAGAAAAAATTACCAAAGGGAAAACTGGCACACGATGAAAGCTATAAGGCGTTCTCACTAGCTCTTGGTGTATCTATAAATTGGAACCACTCCAAAAGTCTTAGAAATGTGTGCATCTCTGGCCCAGCAATCCTTCCCCTAACAATTCAGTTTTACTTTATTCAAAATATGAATGTTTATTCAATCACAATAGTAGTTCAAAATAGATGCAACTTTTAAATCAAGTAAAATATTCAACTGTTGAGATTGGTTAAAAATACCTATAGTGTACTAATATAACCATACTAACATGTTCAATGTGTTACAAGAGTATATTAACTAACCAAAAAGCTGTTCACAGTGTATTTAATTTCTTCTTTTTGCTTAGTTACCTATTCCATTTCTTTTTCATAAACACTGACTATCCTATATAGCCCTGATACCGAAAAATTAGAAGCAGTCTTTATCTAATTAAGAACAAGAAAAGGTAAAGGTTGGGAGGAAACTGAGACACGTGCTGACACAAGGCCTCTCCCTCAGAGAAGGCGAAGGATGACAAAGTTAATGCCCCTTCATGGCACGATCAGGGAAGCAGCAGCCAGGAGCGAAGGAGTGCTGCAACACGCACTGTCTCCCCAAGTCTCACAAGCCAGCACTGGGAGAAGCAAGCACCCCTCAGAAGGAGGGAGTCCTACTTACGCACACACATGTCCCTGCTTTCGTAAAATCCGGGGCAACACTGGGATTTGCGCCTATACATAGTTTTCTCCCCATGTCGATAGGCTGTCCGATAACTGATTCTGCATAAAAGAAACAGAGCACACAGTTAGTTCTTTTGACAACTGGATCAGAAATCATTTTTGTATTAGTAAAAATCTGGGGACTACTGGCTATCATAAAGCATGCAAAGCAAAGTACTTCAAAATAATTAAAACTAAAACTGGAATATATGTCTTGACCAATACTATGCCGTCAGCAATGTACTGCTAATATTGAGTCCCTAAGAAAGCCAACCTATACCAGCGGTGGCAAAGTTACAGTGTGAGTGGTGCTGCAGGCTGTCGGCTGTCACTGAAGCTCTCAGAATTTCACTGTCACTGACCTGCACTTCACTGGTCATGATTTTCCTCCTTTGCTTATCTTGAAATCATTTGCCAAGTACTGACTTTCCCGTGTGATGCCTGCCTAAGCATTCTTCATCTACCTGTGTCTTCAAGGTAGAATTGAGAAAAGTTCTTTAAAAATCTCCACCCAGAGTCATCCTACCATAGAAGCAGAAAACTAAGAGATGCCTTTCTATGTAAAGCGTCATTCACTCACTGATTCACATGTACATTGTTTAATTAAGCACTTACTCTATTCCAGGCACTGAAGAAACAGTGAACAAAATAATCTCAAGTTCTTAGCCTCAAAAAAGCTACTTTTTACAGAGGAAGACCGATCTTATAGAATTTGTTTAATTGAGACATATTAAGCGAACAGGTCATAAAACAGCTGGCAGTGACTACATACAGCAAAGAGAGCTCAAGCCTGCGGTGGGAAATAAAATGTGACAGGAGAGGATGCTGGCTTAGACAGAGTGGTCTGGGGCAGGTGGGCAGGAGTGGCATTGAGCACAGCATCAGTCCCTGGAGAGTAGGTTGGCAGGTGCACATGCGACCCATCATTACCACAGATTTGTAAATGCTTTACTAATAAAATTAGGATATTAAGGTTTGCCTCCTTGTAAGGCACTGATACAATAATAGTTTGATTTTGTTTCTTTATGTTCACATTCATACAGTAACATGTATAGCTTGTTTTGCTTAAGCATCAAATTTAAATACAAATGAAGTAAGATGTTCAATTAGAAACATTTTGAGATAGGCATTTCTTCATAGTTGGTGTCATCCAGGTTCATAAGGGTCTTTCAGAGTCAAGCACAACCCAGAAGCTGGATAAAATACTGCTGACTGAAGGCTGAAGAACAGACATTTCCTCTGTCATTAGACTATAAGTTCCTTCAGGGTAGGGAATATGTTTGCCATCCTGGGTCTCCAGTGACCTGCAGCCAGACTGGGACAGAAGCGAGCCCCCAGCAGCAGTTCACCAAGCACCTCTTCTCTAGAACCTGGAAGCTCTGATTATAGCAGACTCGGCTCCAAGTAGCCAAACCCATAGCCATACCTGGCATCCCTTACCTGTGCCGCGTGCACTTAAACCAGTTCAGGATGTCAGTGCAACTGGTGTAGTAAATCTGATCAAAGGGATGTGGGTATGACTCTTGCACAGTTACTGAGTAGCTGGAAGAGAAGGAACAGGAAGGTGTCAGTATTTTTCTTTTTGACATTAATGATATAGGAAAAAAAATAAAGGAACCACTTTTTTTACGTTAATGAGACAATCTACATTAAAAAAAAATAGGGCTGACCAGATAGCTCAGTGGATTAAAGAGCCTGCTTAGGCAGCCCCGCCCTGGGATGCACTCAGAGGACAACTAAAACTGGGCATGGTGGCACACACTTATAATCCCAGTGCTTGGGAGGCTGAAAACAGGAGGATCACTATGAGTTCAATCTGTGTAGTAAGACCCTGTAAACCCTGTACTAAATACATTTTTAGGGCCAGGGATATAGCTCAGTGGCTTCACCACCTGCCTGGCAAGCGCAGGGTCCTGAGTTCAATCCCCAGTGCTAATTAATTAATTAATTAATTTTTTAAAAATAATCTCCATTTGCAATTCCACATGAATTTTTAAAGATAATTTTCACATTTTCATAATTTTTTTTGGAGGATACTGGGAATTGAATTCATAACCTTGCACTTGCCAGGCAGGCGCTCATGCTGCTGAGTTATATCCCTGGCTCTTTCATAAATTTTTATTTGAACTAGAACACAAAAGACCAATACGAATAATGTACTTAAAAGGTTTATGCTCAACTTTTTAAATTTTTATTTTTATTTTTATTTATTTGGTACAAGTTCTTGTTACACAGCTCAGACTCATGGAGATCCTCCTGCTTCAGCCTCTCCAGTGCTGGGATTACAGGCATGCGCCACCCCACCCGGTTTCAGGAGCAACACCGTGTGCCTGGGGTTCCAGTGCTGGCACGGCATTCAGTACCCGGGACTGAACTCAGGACCTTGTTTTTGTCAGGCAGGAGCTATCTCGCCAGCCTGAATTTCTTATCAGTATATGTTTGTATGCTATAAATTTCAAATTAATTTTTTTTACTGTTTACAACTAACTCTAAAATTTCCAAAGATTAAAAATATATAGCTATTTTTTTCTGTATTCCTTCCCCTTGTCCTAGGGATCCAAGGCAAACCAAGACCTACACAAAAGTTTATACTCTAGGTCTGTATGCAGATAATGAAGTTAGTGATCAAGTTTTATAATGTAGTACATTTTGAGAAATCAGACAGAACATATTTCTCTGGTGGGAATTTAAGCTAATTTGCTTTTATATTCTGGTTCTATTTGTCAGTAGTAGAAGGATAAACATTTTTTAAATGAGGCTGAAACAGGAGGATCTCTGTGAGTCTGAGCTGTGTAGTGAGAATCTATACCAAATAAATAGGGGCTGGTGAGATGGCTCAGTGGTCTAAAGCACCTACTTAGAACAAACTTAGCAAAGCAAAGGGACCACGGTTAAATCCCCCAGCACCACATGCCAGCCAGGGTCGCCCCCTGGTGGGCTGAGCTGGCCAAACACACACACACACACACACACACACTAAATAAATAAAATTAAAAACAAAAACAAATAAATAAAACTTTAAAACAATTAAAAATTAATTGTATAATGTTCTACTTATCAACAGTGAAACATTATATAAAACTACAAAGAAGTCTTCAAATCGGTTCTAACCACGTGGCTGAGACAACTAGCATGAATAATCATTCCAACAATCTGCTGCTACCCAAGCATTCTGCTTTCCCACACTTTTCCTTTCTTTTTCTTTTAAGTTTTTTTAAAAATTTAAAAATTTTTGGTACTGGGGATCAAACTCAGGACCTTGCATGTGTCAGGCAAGCACTTACGCCACTGAGCTATCTCCTCGACCCTCCCACACATTTTCAATAGCACGTTCCCCTTTGTCTCAGTTACTCTTCTCTCATTGCTGACAAATACCCGACACCCAAAATGAAGGAATAAAAGGTTTATTCAGCTCAGAGTCAGAGGAGATTTCAGTCCCATACTCAGCTGGCTCCAAGGCAGAGCACCACATGGCAGAGGGCAGCCGTTCATGGTGGCGGCAGAGGGCAGCCGTTCATGGTGGTGGCAGAGGGCAGCCGTTCATGGTGGTGGCAGAGGGCAGCGTTCATGGTGGCGACAGAGCAAGAGAGCAAGAACAAGTGGGAGGAGCAGCAACAAGGGCTACAGAGAGCAAGTCTGTCTCCCGTATATTGCATTCAGGCTGTCTGCCCCAGGCTGGGTATAGCACTCATCCTCATAATTCCAGCAGCACTCACACCTATAATCCCAGCAGCACTCACTCCCATAATCCCAGCACTGCATCATAAATAAATCACAAAGCCTAGAAGTCCACCGCATGACTGCATGAGGCTTTGGGGGGACAGCTAGTCACAAACCATAACACACTTAGAGTAAAAACATGGTCTCAAGAATGTGAAATATCCAGAAATATTGAAGTACATCCAACTTCATATTTCTTTTTTTTCAATGTTTTATTAATACATGTTCATAGTATGACGATTACATCCCTCCTGGAGAAGCAGCATATATACATGATAACCTTAACTCTTCTTCCATCCACCCCTCCTCTGTTTCCCCATCACTTTTTCAAACGGTTTACTTGTCTACTCCCTATTAACTATTTTTTATTTTTCTGTGTATTTTGGGCTTCTCACATAAGAGACACCACATAGTATTTAAGCTCATGTGTCTGACTTATCTCACTCAACATTATGGTCTCCAGGTACTATTACAATCCTCAAGAACTACGAGGATTGCCTGTGAGAAAGCAGGCCTGCAGGATCTCCTTTGCTGAACAATTTATTCTATTTGCTCTAAGTCTTTTAAAGATTTCCATTAAATTCCCTACTTTACAATAACAAAGAAAATGGGCCATAATCACCGACTCGCTCGCAGCCAATCAATAGCCCAAGTTCATTAATAGGAGCTATCAATTATAAAAGATACTGAAAGAATGAGCCTGGAATTTTCACATGCAGAATTAGGTTAGACACGGGGCAGAACCTGCTGATCTGACAGCTCTGTGATGCCAGCCTCACAGTCAGTTTTCTTTCTGCAGCGGGTTTCTGGGAGGCATCACATAGTGAGCCTTCAGTCTAGAGATGCATTAACTGATCATACTAGTCACATTCACATGAATTCCATTCATTGGGATAGTACAACCTGATTCATAGGAATTCTCCTTAAATGTCAGGTAGAAGAAAGAAGATGCCTTATAAAAAAGATCACTGGACTAGAAGAAGGTAAGTTCACAGTGCTGATCTCACACGTTACAGGAGTCACTGAGCGACCGCCATCATATAATCTCTCCACCCTGGGATCACATCCTAAAATAACAGGTCAGAGATTGTTCCCGATCCCTTCAGTTTTGGCACCCTGTATTTCTAAGGTACACTTAGATAAAAGCTTCCACTCCAGCAGAAACCTGTTGTTATTGCCAGATGCAGGTTCAGATGAGAGTAGAGAGTGAAACACTTCTGATACAACTACTTTGAGGTAAAGCCAGAGACCTCTGCTAAAACACTGATGTTCTTGGAATGGTATATTCCATTAAGCTATTTATATTTTCTTTTAGCAGTATCCGAAGGTTCAAGTTAATACAAATGCCAAGACTTCCTGCCATCTGCCTTAGGAAGCAAAGTGACCATTAACAAATAAATCAGCAAATGTGGGTCAGGAACCTAGTCCATACCCAAACATGAAAAACCTTTTCACTAATTTCTAGCAATCGTGCAGATCCCTCAAATTAGAGGAAATATTAAAGCACATCAATTTCCTTTTCTTGCCAGCTCATTTGTTGAGCTTCATATATTTACAGAATGTCTCTCTGACTCAGAACACGAGAGAGCTCCTCTCCACAGAAGAGAAATCATGATGTTTAGGATTCAAATTCCACAAATACTTATTGAGCAAATCCCATGCATTTCCTGCCCCCAGGAGGCTCTCTATATGAAAAAAGCCAACACAGAAATGCTAAATACAAATGACATGGTTTTCATGGAGAAATACAGTAATTGGGGAAAATAAGATGAGAAAATATACTATATTTTGAGCATTTCTTTTCCATCTTGCATCGCCTCATTCTCATTAAAATTATTTTCACACTAAAATCCTATCTAGTACTGAGTAAATATAAATTACTATGCAGATTGATTCAACTACCAAGGCTTCCACTTCAGTCTGTCGGAGAAGGGCACTCAGCCTTTTCAAATCAATCTTTTTCTGTTGTTTTAACACGTATTTTTCTTTCTCTTTTTCTATATAGTCACTTTCTTCCTCTCTCACCTTCCTTCTCCTCTTCCCTCCCTATTTTGGAAGATATTATAAATCATACTGCACAGTTTGGAAGACAAAATTTCTAAAAGAAAGAAAATTCTATAACTTTTACATGATCATCAACAGGGTTTTGTTTTGTCTTTGCTGGGCTCTTTTGCAGCCTTCAGGAGTTTTATGCATTTAATTGGAGGGTTTTGAAAATTTTTTATATTATAATCATGCTACGCATATACTTTTGAAACTTCAACAACATAAGCATTTTTCCATGTTAGTAAATAATCTTCACATTACGACGGCCCAGCACTCTGTGACTGCATCTAATTTTCATGTCCGGACACCATTAGACAACCAAATTGTCCCTTCCGCTGAGGGCCCCAAGTGTTTGCATCAAGAAGGGCACTGCCTTGAGAGCTGGGCTGCCTCCAGGGATAACACTCCTTCCTCTCCCTGCTTTAGCCAGTGCTTGCCTCGCTGGCAGAGCAGCATTAGCTCCTTGGCTACCTGTCCAGACTCCACATTCAGCAGCGGCTGCTGGTAAGCCAGTGTGGAAAGACGCCTTCTCCACTGTCTGGTCCACGGTGGCTTTCATGGGCTAGTGAGTTTCTGGGACCAGTGAGTCACCAGGACACGCAGACACTCTCCTGCACCCCCGCTTCTATCACAGATGTCCCGCTGCTGTAGCACCAGGAGCCTCTGCAGCAGGCAGTGAGTAGCAAACGGTGGTATAAAAGGAATCTGATCCCAGTTCTATAGTATGTTCAGCACCGGGATTCAAAACTCTTCATTTCCTCTTGTTTGTTTCATTCTCTTCAAACACACTGAAAACATATCATCATTGTGATTTTAACCTAATAAGTGTTATCCGGGAGAAACCCCAGCAAGATTTAATTTAAGGTCAAAGAACAGGTTAGGGGGGAGGGAAGCCAGCATCACTTGGCCTCATTCCAAAGTGGTTAATTACATTTTATCTGCTTAAATTATCTTGTTACTCTAATCAGATATGATAGTAATCATCATTTCTTATCTCTGCCTGCTTCAGGACTGCTGATGCAATTGCTACCGCTTCTGTAATAGTAACTGAAGGTGTGGGCAAAGAGCAGCTTTATTTCTTTTGCACCTTCGCGAGAAGAGTCTCCACCAGGAGAAAAAGTACAAGCTCACAGAGAAAAGAGATCGCCACCAAACTTTCCATTTCCAAAAAGACACTGGGCAGAATTCCTCTGATCATTAATACTCTTTTTGCATTTGTAGTGATTTAGCATTCTTTCATTTTTAGATACAATTTCTTAGAATTACAGTTGCTGTACTAAAACAAGACAATAATTTCATTTGAAAATAAATATTCAGGTATCCATGAGGATGCAGCTAGAAGTTACGGATAGAAGTACTTTTGTTTGGTGCTTGTCGAGCTTGAATATTCATATTCACTATTTTATTTATATTTTTTAATGATTTTTTTGTACTTTTAGGGAAGAGTCTACAGGGTGTTCAGGGTCTCACTACTAGATTGGATTCATAGTGATCCACATGTTTACAGCCTCCCAAGAACTGGGATTACAGGCACGCACCACCACACCCAGTCTCAATTGCCTCTCAGTGCACCCCGGGGGCAGGACCAGCAGGGCAGGCCCGGGGATTGAACCCCCGGCCCCTGAGCATGCTTGCAGGCACTTTAATCCACTGAGCTATTTGGTCAGTCCTTTTAATAATTATTTACTACATATGTTTTTAGTGAACTGTCATAGGGGAGGTGCTGTAAAATTTATAAAGATAATTAATAGGAGGTCCCTCTCTCTAAGTTTTTTTTTCTTTCATTTATGTATTTGGTACAGGGTCTCACTATGCACCTCAGACTTGTAGTGGTCCTGTTTTCAGCCTCCCCAGTCCTGAGATTACAAGTATGTGCCACCACACCTGGACTCGGTTGCAGGCTCAGTGCACCCCAGGGTCAGGGTCCACGTGACATGCAGGACAGGGGATTGAACCCTGGGCACTGCATTTGCTAAAGCAAGTGCTTAGTCTGCTGAGCTATCTCGCCAGCCCTCTTCTCTTTAAATTCTATATAAAAGTTGCTACCACTATATATATGTATATATACATGTGTGTGTGAAACTTCATTCTGTACACCTATTTTCATGGTACGTGTTGCAGTTTCACATCATGTGCTAGGGATTAGATTTCAAATGTCCCCCAAAAGTTTCATGTGTACCGAGGGAGGACTTTGGGAAGGTGGTTAGATCATGAGGCCACCACCTCCTCATAATTTCACAGCGGAATGGGCTATTAGGAGATGGGCTTAGCTGGAGGAAACAGGTTCTGGGCATTGCCATTGTCTCTGGTGTCTGTCTGTCTGTCTGTCTGTCTGTCTGTCTGTCTGTCTGTCTCTCTCTCTCTCTCTCTCTGTCTCTCTCTCCCTCTCCTCTCCTTCCCTCCATCCCTCCCTTCCTCCTTCCCTCTTCCTACCCTGCTTCCCGGCTGCCACAAGATGAACAGCTTCCTTCTGCCATGCTCAAGCAAAGGATCAATGGAGCCCCCTGACCCTGGATTAAAATGTCTCAAAGCATGAACCAAAACAAACCTTCTCGTCTTTGTTAAGATGTGTAGGTCAGATATTTTGTTGACAGTGACATAGAGCTGACCGATACAGAACACTGGTACCAGGAGTGAGGCTGAAGCTTCAGTGGAGACCCCAGAATATACGAGGAATGTGGAATATGTACTCAGGAAAGCTAAAGTATAAGTAGAACCAGCCCAAGAGAGAAATTATGTGGCTGCATCTAGTAAGGCCCTAGAGACAGAGCTGTCCAAGCTCTTCAGGGCTCCCGTAATGCTGCTATGTGCTGCAGATGACAGACTTGGAACTCCAGGTGCTAATGAGTGCCCTGCTGCTTTTGGTCTTGGTGGTCCAATTTTTTCTGATGTCCCCAATCTGTGTATTTTGCAAGGGGAATGTTTACCCTGTGCCACTGTTCAGAGATAAATGTTTTCCTCAGGTCTCAAAGTAAACATTGAATTTAAATTTTTAAGTAGTAATGTTTTTGGTTTTGTTTTTTGTTTTTTTTTTTTTCAGGACTGGGGATTGAACTCAGGCCCTTATGCTTGCCAGGCAAGCACTTATTCTGCTAAGCCATCTCCCCAGCCCCTTGAGTAGTAATGGAACTATCAAGATTTTGACTACTCTCAGACATGGGCTAAATGCATTTTGTATGTGATGGATATCACCCTTTTGGGGGCCAAGGACAGAACCTTATGATTTAGCTCTAAAATGTCAATACAGGGCCAGCGAGATAGCTCAGTGGACTAAGCACCTGCTTAGGCAAGCACAGGGACTGGGATTTGATCCCCAGCACCATGTGCTACGCCAGCCCTGCCCCTGGTATGCTGAGCAGGCCACAGAGACCAGGTTCGATGGTGCACTATGAGTCCAAGCTGCTCAGTGAGACCTTGTACCACATTCATAAACATAAATAAATAAATAAACTAAAATAAAATGTCAACACACAACAGTATATAACTTCATTGATTGATCAGGTATTTCAGTTCTGGTTACGTTGATTGTAATGAGGTAATGAGGTAAGAACAAGCTCTCATTTTAAAAAAAATGCTATAAGAAAGGATTTACTGTGCCCCTAGAATAATACCACTGCTGTCCTAGAAAGCCTCTGGGCCTTATGCATCCTACCACAGGGTGACAACAATTTTTACAATATGTACTTTATTTTGTTTTGTTTTGGTTTTTTGGCGGAACTGGGGATTGAACTCAGGCCCTTGCGTTTGCCAGGGAAGCGTTTATTCCACTGAGCCATCTCCGTGGCCCACAATATGTACTTTGTGATTTGTAATCATGGTAGTGAGGATGATATATAAACATGACCAAGTTTGGTATAACTGGACTTACATGTCTTAAAAATGCATATTACCTTCTAGCGCAAGGTATGATAAAAATATGGTGAATGTTTAATGTTTTAATTATTACAGTTAAAGCTACTTTGTCTTAATTACTCTTACAATACTCCCCCTCACCTTGAGCATGCTTATCCCATAATCATTGCCACTTTCTGAAACAGGTCTGGAAGTGTTCTTTCATGAGTATCTTTAGCTGCTCTGCTATAGCTGCCCTGATATCCTGAACCAATGCAAAACATTTATCCTTCACAGTCATTTTGAGCATGGAGAAAAGCCAGAACTCACACAATACCTGATTCAATGAAGAAGGCAAATAAGGACCACACTATAATGCTTGTACAAGCCTGCTTTTCTGTGGGATGAAAATGGACGGTGGCATTCACCATGTTTTTTATCCCACCCCATGAAGACACATGATGTATGCTTCATATGATGTCTCCAATCTCATCCTTTTCCAGCATGATACTTGGGTCTGTTTTTGCTGGACACAGTTCTCACTGGCTCATGTGGTTCTGGCTTCAAACTACCTTCCACTTCTAGAAGCCCCCTAACAATCACTCCTTCCTGGGCTCTTCCAGCACTTCTCAGGGGATGCCAGCTACATGGAGCACTGCCCATTCCCCCAAAACTAAGGTCTCCCTTTTCAAGCTACCTCTGGCACATTGCCTTTATCTCAGGCATTGCAGCATTTTATTTTATTATTCCATGCTATCTCCTACTGCTCTTTCATTGTCCCCCAAAATAGGTCTAGCTCTGCAGAACTATTGCAAATAGATGCACAGTAGGGGCTAGACCTTAGAGACCTCATTGTCTTTGAACTTTTAACATTTTCCCAAGATCTTACAATTGCATTTGTGTTAGAAACAGATATGTATTTTTTTGTACATAGAATGTAGTCTATTACACCAAGCTGAATATTACTCAATTTATTAGAAGTGCCTAATGCTTTTTGCAGAAAAGACTTCATAATATCTTTTCATACCCTAATTTCATACATCAGATTGATGATGATAATAATATATAAAAGAACTCATGGACAATTATTACTCAGGCTGCAGTCAGAAGGCTTACCTTTCCCAGTGGCTACACACATTAGGGTCTTCGAGATTCAGAGATGCTGCCATCCCAGTCCACAGGCATAAGAGTAAACAGATAAAGCCCAGGCATGAGTTCCAAGAAATAACCATTTTTTTCCTGGTGAAAAACCTGCAAAGAAAAAATTAAAGGTGCGTTAAAATCACTCAAATAGAATTCTTTTCAGTACAGCCATCACTCAACACCAGTGGTCAGCAGGGTTACAACAAGCATAAGGAGACATGTATTTGAATAGCTGGTCACCAGCTTCCATGGTCCAGGAAAGAGAGGTGTTTCTTACATTGTGCTGGGTGCCTACTGTTCTGTACATTGCTGAAATGTGCAAATCAGCACCAATTACCACCACAACAAAAGCTCTTCTTCAACCATGTCAGCTGACATCAAAGGGATCTACCAAAACAACTCTGGGCAACAAAGGATTTTAGATTCTCTCACTGGGCATATTTCCTTCTTGAAGAAGAGGATCCACAGAGGAATCTGCCCTCATTGATCCCAGAGAATAAATGATGCACCGGAAGCTCCTTTACAGAGTGAACCTCAATCTCAGGCAACAAATTGAGATTCATTCAATAGTTCATGGATACTGCATGCCCAATCAACTCTTGCCACCATGAAAAACCAGATATAACATACAAAGCTTGGGGCCGGGGAGATGGCTCAGTAGGACAAGCGCTTGACTGGCAAATG